CAAAACTAATGGGCTTACGATGGTTTTACGTGAAAGTGCAAAGTGCAAAAATATGTAAGAGTGAAGGCAAGTAGAAGTCAAACTGAATGCAGGTTACTTTTACAAATGGATACACTGTCACGTCTATTGTTCCATAATCCTGTATCTACATTTTCAACAACCAAAATATTCTGAAAACTGAAAAAAAAAAAAAAAAGGTAAGTTGGGTGTATACTTGCTAGGTAAGAAATTCTAGACAGAACAAATGTGAAATTAATGATAGTCTTTGCTTATACCACTTAGTGTGATTATTCATACATTTTATTGAAGAAATACTTTTGATTATATGGTTCTGCCGTAAGTCCTGCTGGACATAGTAGGTAATAGAAAATATATGCACTGTACAAACTTTCAAGTTAAAAAAAAGTCTTAACTTTAAAACAGTCTGATTACAGGAACTTTAGATATGTGATTGGAAACCTAACATATGATTTGAGCCTGAAATTCAGCCAATACATCTTTGTTCCTCGTGTTTATAATAGATTTAATCAGTCACTGTCATTTTAGTCTCAATTAGTAACCAAATACTTTTTTGAAAGCATATCTTGGGAAGAGGGGAAAAGAAGAGGGGAAAAGAAAAGAAGAATCTCAATTTCTTTTTCTTCCGCCATACCTGGTTTTTAAAACACAAATATGTCAACATAGAAAAAATGAAATAGGGCTTCAGAATAGAATACTAATTTATAAATCCTGGTAACCTGAAAAGTGTTCAGATAGCAGAACTTGGGAGGTGGTCATAGTTGTGGAGAGAAGGGGTAGGGATAGAAATATCCTCCTTTTTCATGGTGGGGACTCAAGAGACATTGTCTGAGGTCAATGGGAGAAAGCACTGAAAATTTTTTGTATTATTCAAAGTTTAAATGCGAACAGTGGAAGAAGTAAACGATAATACAGTGAACAACTCTGTGAGTTAGGTGATAAGGGAAAGTGAAGAGTGATACAAGGCGCTAAAGCCTTATCTTTCAAAGCGGAAAATAAACAGGTATGACTAGAGTTAATAAATAAATATTTTTCGTTCAGAGTTAAAGGGCTAACTATGAAAAGAAAGAAAAGCAGAAACGATTCCAGATGTTTGTTTCTGGGGAATAAGATGAGGACAGAAAATGTGGGTCGGAGACTGATTTTAATGACTTTGACAGCCATTTTTATAAAATCAAAAGTAAATAAAGCAAAAATATGATAGCGTTTGTTGATTAAAACAGTCACTAGCTAGAAAGTGAGTGAGGGGTGGTCGCTTGAAATAGGGTGGTTTGAAAGTGATCTGACTCATGAGAGGGGGCAACCAAGACGAAATCTGGAGTAACGTGCTCCAGACAGAGAGCTCCGATGCAGAGACGCTCGGTGAAGCCAGCTTGGCCGGCTGGAGGGAGAGACGCGAGGTCTCGGCGAGCCAAGAGAAGCACCGCACGGGAGAACAGGCGCCAGATGGTGCAGACTCCTCCAGGTCGTGGCATGAAGTTTGAATCATATCCTAGTTAACATGGAAAGACATGGAAGGGTTTGAAGTGGTGGAGAGATCTGCTCTGCTCTGCTTCTGCTTCTGATTTAAAGAGACAGCACTGGCTGCGCTGCGGAGGGTTGAGCGCAGGGTAAGAACGGAGGCAGGTAGGATGCTAGGGTGCTCCCACCACACATCAGGAAGAGAAAGCCCTGATCTGAGAAACAGTGTTTAAAGCCTGAGATATATTTTTGGAAGGAAATCAAACAAGATGTGGAGGGTGAATGAGGAAAAGGGGGGAAACACTGAAGACTCTACGAAATGGGGTGAATGGTGGTGATTTTAACGGTCTTCGGAAAGAGGAACAGAAACCCAGAGTCTCTTTTGCGCATGCCCAGTCTGAAATGTCCATCAGGAACCCCAGTGGAGATGCTACACCGGCAATTTGATCCAGGAATCCTGAGCTAGGAAAGGGGTTAACCTGCTGATAGATATTTGATAATCATCGAGGTGATACTTAAAGCGAGGTGGGGCTCACCTTGGGAAAGAGAGTGTATAATAAAAATCGCTAGCGTTTATTATATGTTTACTACATGCCTAAAACTCCCCTAAATGCTTTTTACGCTCTGTGTTGGGAAGGTTCAGTGATTCAGGAGGAGGACTCAGCAGGGTCATAATCACAGCTATGATTTATTACATCCAAAGGCTAGAAAGCAAAATCAGCAAAGGGAAAAGGCACAGGGGGTGAAATCCGAGGGAAAGCTCGTAGAGCCCTCATCCAGGTGGAGTCACACAGCACGTGCTTCATTCCTCAGCCAAGAGCTGTGGTTACACATGTGAAATATTGCCAACCAGGGAAGGTTATGAGAGACTCAGTGCTCAGGGTTTTTACCGAGGGCTAATCACATAGCCAGCCACTGCCTGGTATGTACCAAAGTTCCAGATTCCCAGAAGGAAAGCAGGTCTTCAGCATAAAGCATATGCTTCATAAACAGCTTAGGTACAGTGAGCCACTCTTATCTTAGGTGGGTAGGAACCCTCCCCAAAGCCAAGTTCTTAGATGCCAGCTCAGGGCCAGCCTTGTCAGTAGGCCTTTCTAAAGATTGGCAGTCAGACCTGCTCTGTTGACTCTTTTCTGCACACATATCTTCAATTATTTAAGACTCCAAAAACCCTCTGAGTAGGTCCTATTCCTCTCTTTATCTTACAGGCAAGGGAACAGGAAAAAGCTCATGCAGCTAATAAGAGAAAGGTTGGGAATTGAAACTCAGAAGTTTGACACTCGTGTGGGATCTCTTGCAAACTTTACAAAGGAACCTTTTGTAATCGAGAACAGAAAGTGGCAGGGGAGTAGGGTCAAAGGATTGAGCCTTGGGCGCTCCAATATCTAGAAGTCCAACAGATGACCAGGGAAGACCAACCAGTGACATGGGCAGAAAACCAGGAGACCATTCCATCTATCCCAGGAGAGAAAGGTTCAGAAAATGGGTTATTTACAATTGTCGCACTAGAGGGGATGCCATGGTTATTGCTGACAAGGTTAGGTACATGATCCAACTTAAATTTTCCAATGCCGATGCCAAATTTAGGTCGCATGCTTTCCCCTGACATTACCTTTGTTATTGAAGCTATTCAATAGATAGCTTCAATAGATGAAGATATTCCTCTATACACACTTCCCCTCTTATGTGAAATGCTATTCTCCTACTTTCTAAATAGCAATTTCTAGTCATCCTTCAAGAGCTTCACCTAATAGTACCTTCTTTGTAGACTATTGCTACATCTCCCCAACACAGCTATCCACCTTCTCCGTGGAGTTTTTCTCTTCATATTTCTATCGCAATCCTCTTCTTACTAGTTTCCTTTTATTTGCTTACTTCTCTGCATCCTCCTCTAGGCTGGCAGCTGCTGAAGGGCAGGACCTGCACCTTCTTCATATCTATACTCTCAGCATCAGTGCAGTGGTTAGAACATTGCAAATGCTCAAGAAATGCAAGAGGAATGAAGGAAGGAAGAAAGGAAAGGAAGAAGGAAGGATGGACGGAGGGGCTGAGGGAGCGGTACTGAGGAGCAAACAAGTGAAACGGAATAAGGTGTTTGGTGCAAAGGTAGATAAACATGTCCTATAACCCAAGGCACCCAAAGCTTTCTCAGATTGGAAATATTTATATTCTAGTAATGGGTAAGTTGAACTTGCATTTACCTGACTGGTGTTGCACAAACAAATCTACCAATTATACTTTCCATGTATGCATGAATACCTAAAAGCTACAGATCAAAGTTTCCTGTTTTGGTTTTGTTTTCTTGAACTAGCTAAGAGGCAAAATCTCATGAGAGAGCCAGAGGAACATTTGTTCAAGAGAATAGTACTTTATTCCTGAGTGTACGTGAGTTTATCAGGTCTTTCGCCAGGGACACTTTTTTGGGGGAGGGGAGGGAGGGAGGGGAAAACATATGGGAATACTGGCACTCTAAGAGTAGGTAGCCAATAAAGGAAAAAAATTATCCAGAACTAGGGGGCTAAGATACCAGGGAAATCAAATTTTTCACTTCATGCAGCATCCCATCTTCTGAAATACAACCAGAAAAATCTCCATGTGGAGAATACTAAGGTGACATGGATCCTATTTCCAAAGGAATTTAGAGATTGGTAGCAAAATGCTTATCATGTATGCTAGCTAATTACACTGGAGAGGGAATATTGGGTGGAGGCTCACTATAAACATGGCCGAGCTGTTAGGGCTGGCTACAGGCCCGGGAGGGGAGGCATCCTTCTATTCCACCACTTTGCTGTGGTTTGTGTTGAAGAATCTTCCTCAGACTGAGGTAAATGAGACAACAGGGAAAGTTGGCAGGGCCACCTGACCGCAGCTCCACAGTTCTCCTGTCTCACAGATGTTTCCTGCCTTCCCCACCAAGCACAGCCTCCTCTGAGGCCTCTGGGATTTCTAGCAAACACATCTGCGGTAGGCAGATCCTGTTTCAGGGTCGGTTTCAGGCTAACCATCATTAAAAGGAGAGTCATGAAGAATTTATTAGAGGAAACACTGAACACAGTGAACTGATTCTGTCTTTCTCTTTTTCAAGCCACTCCATGTTTATCATGGATACACTGATTTTCACATAACTTTTTATTAAAGAAAAAAAAAGAAAGTTTGTATCCTTTACAGTTTTTGTCTGAAATGAGTAGAGATTTAATAGAACTAGTTGATGGAGCGATTTTCCCCCAAGACTTGTGTTTGTTCTACCCGGTGGTGACCCTTCAGGTATTTTAAATTTCAAGGGTGCCTGGGTGGCTCAGTGGGTTAAGCGTCCCACCCTTGATTTTGGCTCAGGTCATGATCTCAGGGTCGTGAGATCGAGCCCCCTCGTTGGGCTCTAAGCTCAGCACAGAGCCTGCTTGAGGTGCACTCTCTCTCTCTCCCTCTGCCCCTCCCCTCTTTCACAGTTTCTCTCTCTCTCTCAAAACAAAAACAAACAAATATTAAATTTCAGCTATTTGATGGCCTTTTAAAAACAGGTATCTTGCAGATGAAATTTAACACTTTAAGTTTCTCTTGAAAATCTAAGAATCTGGGAAAAAATAGTCTTATGTTCCATTTTAATAATCTGCTTAGGCTAGAAGCAACTTCCTTCTTTGGGTGAGTCTTGAAGCCTCTCGCTGCCCAAATTTTCAGTCCTCTGTGCTGCTCTTCTCAAAGTGAACCCAGAATTTGTTCCTTTTCTTATCAGACATCTGTATTCTCTCAGTTATTTGGACTGTTCGAACATTGAAGAATCTAAATGTCTCTTCAGGTCCTAAAAATGTCAATGAAGTGAATATATTTTTATATTTTCCTTAAGAAGAGGTAACCACAACTCAACATTAAATTTTAGTAATATATTCATTGTAGTCTTCATGAACAAGCAATTTAGAAAAAAAAAAAAATATGTGAAATAGATTGGACTCTGAAGACTACCCCTGAAGAGGAAAATATTCTCATACTAGGCACGGGACTAGTTTTGCTGGAGTAACAAAATCAAGGTTATATTGAATAAAGGCATAACTTCACCCCTAGGTGTTAAAGGAGTAACATGTTTTCTCTTAATAGATACAAAGCTGGGTTCTGTTGAAGGAGACAGAACTTAATTTGAATCCTGACTTTCCTTTTACCCCCTAGGAAACCTTGGCAAGTCAATCAAGCTCTATGAGTATCAGATATCTTATCTGTGGGACAATAAAACTTGTATGCACACCATGAGGGGCAATAAGGGAGAAATGTAATATGCATAAAGTCCTTAGTCTGTGTCCAGCAGAACCAGTCCGCTCCGTGTACTGCCATCTTCACTATATCATCATTTCCTAAACCTCATACTCTTTAGAAGGTATCAAAGCTGATGCAAGACAAAGATGAAATGCAAGAAAGCCAACGTTATGCATTTAATCTTTTTTTGTCTAAAGACAGAGGGTAACATAAATATGAAAATATAAATACAGACATTTATACAAAATATGTACCAAATATATACAAAGGTGAGTAATTGCCTATGGTTCTCAGATTTCTGGATTCCATGAAACAGAAAATAAAAAATAAAAAAGAAATCAAACATAGAACTTTTTTTTCCCCCAGGTTAAGAACATTAACACAGAGCAAAACCAAAAAGTTGCCATTTATTATCACCAATGTTTTATATAAGAAAGAACATTTAAACATAAACATAAAAGGGCAAGGACACAATTTCAGAATGGACAGCTCTTTAAATTGAGCCAATTTAACCCAACGAAAAACTCACCAGATTACTCTTATTATTCTTATTTTTCCACGGACTATAAAAATGTTGCCCAACCTAAGACCAGAGAGTGGATGAGTGTTTGAGAATCATTTGCATATGCTATCATTCAAGGTCTTGTTTTAGCGCCTTCTCGTCACATATTTAATTTATATTTAGGAAAATAGACCTGACCTAATTAGACGAGTCTGGTCCTCAAACTATCACATAATCCGCTACTGGGATTAAGTGAGTGGTTGTACGTTTCTGTGTCTGATGGGTTAAATTGGGGGAAGGAAAGAGACAAGTGCCTTCTCCCATCCTCCCATGCTCCAGTAACAATTTTGTGGAGGGAGTGAGGACGAGGGCAGCTAGTTGCTTACCAATATATCTTTTTCCAGTCTTCCTTAGGAACAGAATCTTAATTCTGTTGAGGTTGGCAGTGTATACAAAACTCCTTTATTTATCAACTTACCCTGCAGAAAGTGGTGGCCAGATGTCATCATTCTGGCCAATGGGCTGCTACAGAAATTATTGCTGAGGCTGGAGGAAAGCATGCTTTAAAAGAGGGGCATGCTCAGCTGCCTTTTTCCCCCATGCCTGGCTCCTTCATCTTGCCTGGAATAAAATTATGGATGTGCAGTATATATTTTAAGATGCTGAGTCAAAGGCCCCCCCAAATCTTAACCCCTGCTACTCTACACTTGAGATGCTCAACCAATACTATTAATTGCCTACCCCAGGATTTCTCATAATGTGAGGAAAATATAGCCTTTCATGTTGATATCACTACAGTCAGATCTCCCACTGGCAACCAAACTCAATCCTAATTCATACAAATATAATAAATAGAAAAAGGAAGAAATACTCTTTCCTCGGTAGCAGAATAGGGAAAAAAAATGGTAATAGGAAGAACGTACTACTTTACATCGTAAAGACTGCTAAATAATTACATTTGTGTCGTAATATGTCAGTATGTTTTGTTAGGAATTTAAAAGTAGAACCTGGATAACCTCATTATTTGTCATTATATATATGATAGTAGACCAAAAAATTAGCACACATAACATGTGTTATGAGTTGTATTGTGCTCCCCCCAAAAGATATGTTGAAGTCCTAACTCCCAGTATCTCAGAATGAGACCTTATGTAGAATCATGATCATTGCAGAGATGATTAAATTAAAATGAGGTCATTCTGGATTAGGACGGGCCATAATCCCAATGACCAGTGTCCTTATAAGAAGTGGCGAGAGAGACACACGAGGAGGAAACAGGATGTATTTACCATTACTCAATTGAGGTGTTTAAAACAATTTAGTTCTGGCAAAAGAATTGATAGATCATTGGAAATTATGGTGAATCTAGACAAAAATACCTAAATATATGTGAGATTGTAGTCTATGATAAAAGCCAACATTTGAAATTGATGGTAGGGAAGATGGATTATTTAGTAAATGGTGTTAGGTCAAGGACTGGTTGTATGGGAAGATATTTATAGGAAATGATCTTTTCTTCTTTCTTTAGACTAGCAAAATTTCCAAGTGCACCAGACATGTAAATAATTACAAAATAAAGTCATAAAAGTAACATAAAGTGTTGTAAGTGATGCAGTGATACATTGTTGGGATGGGGAAAGTCATTCTAAGCAGGACATGAAAGCCACAAACCATAAAGAATGGATACAAATACATACAAACTTAAAACTTTTCTGTAGAGGGGCGCCTGGGTGTCTCAGTTCGTTAAGCGGCTGCTTTCGGCTCAGGTCATGATCTCAGGCTCCTGGGATTGAGCCCTGCATCGGGCTCCCTGCTCAGTAGGGAGTCTGCTTCTCCCTCTCCCTCTGTGCTCTCTCTCCCTCTCTCTCTTTCTCTCTCTCTCAAATAAATAAATAAAATATTTAAAAAAATTTTTCTATAGAAAAAATATCATAAAATGGAGATAGGCAAAATGTGAGGAAAACTTGCAATATATATATGGAAAAAGATTCCTGTTTCTCCATTAGACAAGGCTCTAAATCCAAAAAAGGAACAGGTAAATGCCTCAGTATAAAAACATGTAGAAATGTGATTAGGCTGCCCACAAAGGATAAAATTTAAAGGATAATGAATATACAAAAAGTATTAAGAATCCTTGGTAATAAGGGAAATATGAATAAATGCAACAATAAAGAAACATTTATTGCCTGTCAAGCTGAAAAGGATTCAAGTAGATTGTCAAAATCTAGTGCTGAGGTGTAAATGGGTACAAATGTCTTTCTTTTTCTCAAGGGGCAGCATGCCAAACGGGCTTGGAGGCAAGCTGCCTGAGTTTGAATGCCGCTCTACCGTTTTCTACCTGTGTGACACCAACTTACTTAACCTCTTAATGTCTCAGTTTCTTCATCCATTATAGGGGGATAATCATCATCATCATCATCACCATCATCTACCTTGTAGGTGTGAGAGGAAAACATACATTAATATGTGTCAAGCACCCAGTGCTTGGCAAAAACTAAGAGCTAGTATTAGCAGTGCTTGGGGCTGTCATTACTTTCATTTTTTTTTTTTTTTCCTTCCAAGCTTGAATTCTCTTGCCGTCATTTTAACATGTGTCTCACATTCAGGAATATCTTCAATGTTTCTGCTCCATTGTCCTTCCACCCCACATTCTTGGATTTTTGATAAATTTAATTGTCAATACTTCAAAAGCATTTTATACAAAAAAATTTATAGACAAATTTTTAAAGGACTAGAAACTAAATTTTATTTTCTTAATTTTTTTAAAGATTTATTTATTTTAAAGAGAGAGAGCAGGGGGTGGGGGGGGTGAGCAGAAGGAAAGAGAGTCTAAGCAGACTGAACACTCAACGCAGGGCCCCACGCGGGGCTCAATCTCACCACCCTGAGATCTTAACCTGAGCCAAAAGCAAGAGTCCGACACTTAACTGACTATGACACCCAGGCATCCTAGAAACTAAATTTTAATATTCAGCCTGTATAATTCAAACCATGCCTGAGTTTAGGAGGTGTTTTTTTTTTTTTTACTTCAAATTCCATAACAAGATAAATATAGGGTTTTCTAGCATGCTTCATTTTTATAGACATCAAGTTTTATTTGAGTTCTTCTTACATAGGAATCGTTCCTCAGGAGTAACTTAGGAGTTTAGAATGAATGCAACCTCTTTCTGAAAGACTTTCTCAAACATTCCCACTATGTTCTCATACGCAACAGGAATCTGGCATCATTGATAATATTTACTCGTTTTTAAAAATCTCTTCACAACGGAACAAATGTAATTCATGAAACCATTTTAAACCAATATTTATTTAGTGATTTCTAGTTTATTGAACCCTTAAAATATCCCACTGTTGGAGTCTCACAACAATCTCATAAATAATCTGAACAGAATTGCTTAGTATCTCCATTTTACAAATGAGGATGGTAAGGTTAAGGGAGATGATATAAATTGCCTAAGGTCATACAGCAAGAAAAGAGGCTAGCCTGGTGCTGGAGTCTACATTCCATTATTTTTATTTTACTTTATTCTATTTCTAGTCGTTGTTAATGCATTTCTTTGTTCCCCTGGCTGTGTTTACCTTGGTCTTTAGAGGGGGAGAGCAGGAAGGGTGCAGGGAGATGAGATAGCAAGATGGCACAGTACCATAGCCTGGACGATACTGTTCCTTTTCTACCTTATTCAACTACTGATTACAAGATAGCATATCTCAGACAGTATCAAGCATCGCTGCTTTCTGGTCATAAAATGCAAATAACACAGAATCTCCAACTTACAAACATTTTTCATATTTATTAAGATCATTTTTGCTTTTAGCTGATACTACTAATCCAAAAGTAAGGGCATTTTGAAGAAATCGTTCACAGTGCTCAGAGGTAAACTTAAAAGATCTGGTTCCTAGCTAAGTCACCCATCGTTTTGGGGCACCTGGGTGGCTCAGTCGTTAAGCGTCTGCCTTCAGCTCAGGTCATGATCTTAGGGTCCTGGGATCGAGTCCTGAATTGGCTCCCTGCTCAGCGGGGAGTCTGCCTCTCCCTCTGCCCCCCACCCCTTGCTTGTGATCTCTCTCTCTCTCTCAAATAAATAAATACAAAATCTAAAAAAAATTAAAATTAAAAAAATAAAGTTTATTCTCTTTTCTCTGGCATGCACTTGTGTATTAGACTAAGTAGATAACTGGTTAAATCAAAATGTAGCTTTTTCTCAATACAAGTAATTTGGGGGCAAATCCAAATCAGTGCAACAATAGGTTAAAAAAAGTCACAACAGACGACTGTATTTACACACAATAGAAGGTCATTCTCTACCTTCCCAAGAATGTATGTTGTAATCACTTAGTGATAAGAAAAACCAGTAAGTTTCCTGTGATTGCCAAGCCTAGAAGCTGTCAATGGGATCTGCAAAAACACTGTGTTGGTGGCTTTTTGACTGAGAGAAATGTTTTCAACACCCCTGATGATCACTCGGATTAAGTGCCACCTACTAAGTGATTTGTGGTTCAAATTCCAAAAGCATGGGAGCATAATATTATTCCTTAAACATTTCTCACACTCCTTTTTACCTTACCATGGTCATCTACCTATTCTTGAAAATATCCTTTCTTGCCTCCTAAGATAACCTTTTTAGCTTCACTTGAAATAAAAGTAGAGAGGAACCTGGCTGTCTCAGTCAGTAGAGCATGCGACTCATGATCTCGGGGTTGTAAGTTCAAGCCCCACATTGGGAGTAGACACTACTGAAAAATAATAATAATGATAATAATAGTAATAATAAACTTAATAAAGAAATAAAAGTTGGACCGTAATGAATTAGTCAGAGCTGTTCACTAACCTTCACAGCTCACTGAAGGATGTTGGTAAGAGAGGTATCAGTAAATTTAAGTAGAGGAAGGGTGAGTGTGTCTGTGTGTTTGTTTTCTAGCTACTTTTCCACTGGTGCAGAGCAACTACAACATGTAAGAAAGAAAGAAGGAAGAGGGAAGGAAGGATGGAGAGAGGGAAGAAAAGAAAGAAAAGAAAAAAGAAAAAAAAGAAAGGAAATCAGGGAGATACCCAGACAATAAAATACTATGGCTAATGAGGCATAAAAACCGGACCTGTCTAGCCACTGACAACCTATTCTTTCTCCTCTGATGTTTGCTGTGCAAAATTTCAGGGCAGTGACTGAACTCCTCCCCGCCTTAGCCTTAATTTTATCTTCCTGAAATTTAACCATTTGTCTTCCAAACTATTTTATCACCCCTTCCCTCCACTGAATGCCACATACCTATATCCACATAATGCTTGAAAGTCCTTTTCCTTGCCTCAGGCCCAGGTTTGTCTTGATGAAAATGTTCACGTATGCCAAAAATTTCAGAGTGTTTTACTCTGAAAAATAAAAAACAAATAAAGCAAATGTCAAGACACATCCAATTTAGGATGCAATGAATGAACAATGCAATTCACACATTAGATTGTCAAGCTATATATATGTGTGTGAGTGTGTGTGTGTATGTGTATATATATTAATATATCTTATGATTATATATTTTACACAAAACATTATATCTCTATTCTGAAAGAACATACACAAAAATGGCTAACGAATATTAGCTCTTCGATGGAGTGGGAGCATAGTGAAGAATTTTTGTTTTGGTAGTATAATTGATTTTATACTACACTTCATTTTTCATATTATGTATAAGTAATGTTCTTTAAACAACCACGGATTACTTCAGTAATTTTTTTTAAAAGAAAAGCAACAGAGAAATTCAAAAATACAGAAGTAGATAACCAAAGATGAAATTAATCATCACAGAGTTCGGTGCATAAAATCTGTCCTGGTTCATCTGATAAGAATTCTTAACCCTCAGGATTGCTACAGGCAAAATTTCAATAAGAAGAACAAGGAATGTTTAAAATAAAGATATTTTTATCAGTTCTGATAACACATAAAGTAGCTCACGGGGATAATTTCTCCCAGTCTTACAAAGCAAACCTGTACGTGCAAGGAAACAAGACCACCAAATATAAAGAGAATGGGAGTAAGAAGTCCAGGTCCTCGGAATCATGAGTCGCTCTATAGAGATCTGAGGCCTCTGTTTAGCATGCCTTTTCTCCTTTTACTGCCCAAACTGCACTAGCAGCAAACTTCGGTGCAGGGCTCTTAGCATGGGACCCATGGTCCTCCAAGGCATCACTGAATAGGGAGAACTCAGGAAGTTCATGAACTTGGATGACCAAAAAGTTACTTCTCTATTTTCATCAAAATCTAATTGAAATTTAGCATTCCTTCAATTACGAATGTTGGCAACAACTGTCGCATCCGCGGTACCTGTAACTTTCCCACCAAAGAAATCACAGATGGTTTTAGATCATATTACAGTTGTGGCATATATCTCAAAATATTATTTATGCACATTACCACTTCAAAATTATAGTAATTGTTATGTCTGTTGCTAGACCTTGTTATTTCATGCTTTACTGAAGCAGCACAATGTGTTTTTAAAAATATTTTGACAACTGTGTTTTATTATTCTTGATTCCCTCAAATTCCCATACATTTTATTATAGAAATCTAAATATATTCTCCTATGAAGGGGCCCACAGATTTGTCAATTCACCAGATTGCCAAAGAAGTCCACGGCACAAAGTTCATCTTGCTGCCCTGTACTCCTAAGGGGCCAATTCTCTTCAGATGCTTCTCTTCTCTTCCCACATTGCCCGAGGAAACCCCTATCCAAGGCCTTACCACCAAATCACCATCGTGAGTTTTTTTCTCCCCCTACTACCCAGCAGAGTGATTGACAGAGAATATATGTGCGAGAAAAGTATTCACTGTTTGTTCAAATGAATTAATAGTTTATTGTCTGAACTCATTTGTCATCGCCAGTGGAATAAAACAGGATCACAAGAGGGGTGCCTGGGTGGCTCAGATGGTTAAGCGTCTGCCTTCGGCTCAGGTCATGGTCCCAGGATCACAAGAGATCAATCTCAGTTTTTCTATTTGAGATTAGACCTCTGAGAGGCATGCTTAGCATGTACAGATTCCTTCTACTACTCTGGCAAGACTTCTGGACGGGAAGGCCAACACATCATCAAAAGTGATTTAGGAATGACAAACTCCATATGACCGCATTCTTCAGCCGCACATGCAGATTATTAACTGCTTTGCAAGAATCATCACAACTTTTTGTTTCGACAAATATGGCAGAAGATGAAGGTCTTAGAGCCTCCTGTCCCTGGAAATCATATTGTTAGCTCCATATTATCCTAGACCTTTGAACCCGAAGTCTGCAATAACACTGATACCTATGAAACCCATTGTGCTCAAATGCACTGAAACAAAACAAAAACAAAATAAAATCAATAACCTGCACAGTTGGGTTCTAGCCCTAATTAATCAGGTCATAGTATTTCTGTGTGCTACATGGGCCCTTAGGTCCCACTGAAGTTTTCAAACTCTCTGCACCTGTGAGGTCAGACCTGGATGATCAAGTCTGACGTAAATGCCTGTCATGTCAGACGTCACTGCCCCGCATTGGGCTCCCTGCTCAGCGGGGAGTCTGCTTCTCTCTCTGCCTCTCACCCCGCTCGTGTTCTCTCTCTCTCTCTCTCTCAAATAAATAAATACATAATCTTAAAAAAAAAAAAAAACTTACATTTGTGTTTCTAAAAGAAGTGTGTACTAAAATGCAAATGGTCTGCTTTGGTTAAGCTTTAGATTGGGGAGCAAAGAAGCATGATAATAGGCTAAACATGTTTTTTAATGCAGCTAGAAACCAAACCAAAGATGGTGCTGTGTTGGTCATGCGGGAATGTGAGGCAAGCACCAGCCCTCATCCTGCCTGCACATACTAAAGCAACAGTGCTCTAGGGCAACATCTTTTTTTTCCCCTTCAAGGATTACTGCTGCTTCACTTGGTGTTTCTCCTAATTAGCATCCACTCATTATAGTCAGTAACAAGTTCAGTAATATATCATGAAAAAAAAAATGCACAATAGCGAAGCTAAAATGTAATTGAGAGAAATAAGTTCCTTTGGCTCCTGTGGTTTTATAGCAACAAGTCAAACGATGCTGCCAAAATTGCGTATCACCAGTTACTGATCAGTTGTAGATTAATGTGTGGATTGACTGGCTTTTGTAATGAGCCAGTCACCATAGAGAAGCACTTGCTATGAAACGCACGTAGCCAGAGTTTTTGTTACAGAGCCATAAACTTTAACCTACAGACCTTTTGCTCTTTGCTGTTTGAAAAACCTAATAAAGCACAGAGCTTATTACTGATATTACTGCTACACTAAGAAGTATTCTAAGAACACATGTTGAGAAGTTATGAGAAATTATACAGAAAACTAAAATAGAAGTGAACAGTGAGTTACCTCCAATAATTTTTACTTGAGATTCTCAGTGTTTTTCCTAATTCAGCACAGGGAACAGATTGTTCATTAATGTGATTTATTGCATGGATGTATCCAGATTTTGATATACTCCCCAAAGTGTTGTGATGAGCACTAGGTGTTATACGCAACTAATGAATCATTGAACACTACATCAGAAACTAACGATGTACTATACAGTGGCGAGCTGAACATAATAAAAAAAAAAGAATTTAAAAATCAAGAAAGAAAATGAAAAGGACTAGAATATAGTGTGAACTAAGGGGAAAAGTAAACAGAAACTGACATTGTAGCTTGGTTGCTTGTTTCTTTTGTTTTGTTTTAATGGTCACACTAATTAACCATTTACCAGGAATGATCGCCTGGTCTAGACAGTGGTGTGGACAAGACAGGCGGCTTCTGTACAATTTCTGGCCTGCTAGCTGAAGTTCCTATTCCAAAGCAAAAGCTTACTAGGATGTAAATAACAGGAGTGACATTACTGTAGGAATAGCTTCAGATCCATTTTCATTTATAATACTGTAGACTTTGCAAACTTGAGTTCTTTTACCAAGACACCACATTCTCCCTTGTTTTCCTTTGTCTCTCTGTCTGCTTTCTCTGTGGATTTTTCTCATCTCCCCTTGTCTCTTACTATTGGTGTGTCTCAGGACACCGTCCTTGGGCAGCTTTTCTTATCTGTCCACACTACATCCCTCGTGCTTCTTTCATTCTCATGTGGTCCCATGGCTTTAAATACTGTCTACATGCCAACGACTCTCAAATTTCAATCCAGCCCAGACCTCTCCCTTGAACTGTAGATTTAAATATCCAACTGCCTAACCACTATCCCTACCTGATGTCTAATAGCTATCTCAAACTTAACATGTCTAAAACTGGGCTTCTGATCTTCTCTGGTCCCCCAGTTGCTCAGGTCCAAATTGCTGCAATTGTTTTCATTCTTTTTTCAGATCCCATTCTCTTTTGCATCCTACGTTTGATTTTAAATCCTGTCATCTGTACCATCAGAATATATCCTGAATCTAACCCCATTCAGTGCTACTACTTTTGTCCAAGACATCATCATTCTTGTCCAAGATTATTACAATGGCCTCCTAATCATTCTCCCTACTTTTGCCCTTGCACCCCTTCCAGTAGATTGTCAACAGAACAGCAGAGCCGTTCCTTCAAAATGGAAGTCAGATCATGACACTCCTTTGTTCAAAAATCTCCAAGGGCTTCCCAGGTGTTCAGAGCAAAAGTCAAAGCCTCCCAACAGCTTGTGAGACTGTATCAGCTCTGGTCGTCGGTTAGGACTCTGACCAAGGATACTACTGGCTCCAGTTAAACTATCCTACCCTTTTCCTCTAACACCCCAAGTCTCTTCTTCCTAAGAGGCTTTGCACTCTCCCTGCCTGGGATGCTCTTCTTTCAGGTACTTAAATAATCAAGTCCTTGTGTGTTCATTGGGGTTTTTGACCGAAATGTCACCTTCTCAGTTGGAGCCTTCACGAACACCCTAGGGAAAAATGCAACACCCCATACGCTCTCTCCCTCTTTTCTTCCTTCATTTTACCCCTACTACTTACTTCCATCCAATGAATTGTGCATAGTATTTGTCTTGTTTATACTGTTTATCTTTTCACAATAGAAAATGGGCTCCAGGGGGGATGTCGTATCTTTCTGTTTTGATCACTGTTACCTAAAGTATTTAAAAAGTACCCGGCACATGATAAGAAATCAAGACTTGTCAAAAAAAAAAAAAAAAATGGAACTAATGATTTGGGGCCTATCTCATAACTGTTGATAGAAATCATTGTTCTAGAGTGATGGTCCAGATAGGAGTAAAGTAGATGAATATTGTAAGGACTGGACTCGGTTCAAAATGGTACAGTGTATCTCGGGATCTCCTTCATTGCCAAGACATTGCTAATGAGACAAGCTATAACTAAAGATTGAATTTTTGGTTTTTTGTTTTTGTATTTATCTAGTTGGAGCAAGATATAAAG